AAATTTTTTAGTAGAGACGGGGTCTCACTCTTGCTCAGGCTGGTCTCGAACTCCTGAGCTCAAGCAGTCCTCCCCACTCGGCCTCCAAGAGTGCTGGGATTACAGGCGTGAGCTACCGCGGCCAGCCTGTTTTTATCATTTTTATATACCTGGATTCAGCCTGTGAGTTTGCTTGAACTGAAGTTTGCCTGCACAGAAGACACTTTGAAAGTCAGTACTCAGCGAGGGCCGGGGTCTCAGCCCCTCCCGAAGACCTCAGCTCCCGGGTCTCTCTCGCAATCGCTCAGACGTGTGCGTGTCCTTCTTTTTATCCAGTTGGATTCGTTGTGCGGAATGAGCGCCTGCCCCAGCAGAGTGCTGGCAGGCAACTGTCTTCCTTTTTCTTTCTCACCTTTTCTCACCTCCTTTCCCGCCTCTTCTCTGCTGTGCCCTGTGAGTGAGTGAGTGACACGGTTGCTGGCTTCCCTCAAGGTGAGCTCTCCAAGAGGGAAGGAGAAAGAGAGCCCAAGGGGAAGCCTTTTTATAACCTAATCTTAGAAGTGACACCTCATCACTTTTCCAGGAATACCTGGACTACTTTAGGCATTCCTATGTAAATTTTAGAATCAACTTATAAATTTCTACACACACACACACACACACATACATGTACCACACACACGTGGGCTGAGATTTTGATTGTATTGAGTTGCATCTGCCGTTCAATTTGAGCGGAATTGGCATCTTTATAATGTTGAGTCTTCCAATCCATGAAAATGGTATATGTCTCTATTTATTTAGGTCTTTAAAATTTTTTCTCTATTCAATTTTATTGTTTTCAGCTAAAAAAAAATCTTTCACATCTTTTGATAGATTTATTCCTAGATGTTTGATGCATTATAATCATAATTTTAAAATTGTGTTTTCTGTTTGTTTCTGGTTTATAGAAATTCAGTTTTTGTTTATCGACCCTATATCCAGGCGCTTGCTAAATTCATCTGTGAGATCTGAGAGTCTGCTTCAGATTCTTCTGGGTGGTCTAGGCTTTATTTCTTCCTTTCCTACCCTCTGCCCTTTGTTTCCTTTTCCTGCCTAGTTGTACGGGATGGGACCACCCGTGCGGTGTTGTACAAGCGTGGGGAGACGCTTCTGATCACTCACCTCAGTGACGATGTTTGCTGTTGCTCTCCTGTAGACAGACTTTTGTAGATAGGTGGATTTAGGAGGTTTCCATCTTTTGTAGTGTGCTAGGATGTATTTGTTAAAAACAATCATGGATGGCGTGGAGTTTTATCAAGTGATTTTTCTATCAGGGTGCTTATATAACTTTCCTCCTCTTTCGTTGTTCGTATGATAAATCATACAGATAGTTTCTGAATGCTAAGCCACCTCGCATTCTTAGAAGAAACTCCGCGGAGCCGGAGTGTGTTATCCTTTTTATTTATCATCAAATTTGATTTGCTGGTATTTTGTTCAGGAGGCCTGCCCCGTTTTGAAGCTTCTATTATTATTATTAATTTACACAAGAAATCCTTTTTCATCGAAGAGACATTGGAACATGTGTAGAAAGAAAGCCTCAATTAAAAAGTTTGTTTTAAAACTCCTCATATGCGACCCAGATATAACCACAGTGAACGTGTTAGCGCCCAGAGGGATTTAAAAAGAACTGAGCGCTTGCACGCTTAATGCTCAGCAACAAAGCCACATGGGAATACATAATTAAAACCAATTTGGAAAGGAACTCTCGTTATTTCTGCCATAGAAATGCTTGATACGTCCCACGGTAAATACTGATCTCTCGTCTGCTTTTTCACGGTCCTCTTTTGCAAATCCTCGTGTCAGGTGATTTCCATGAGACGCCTTTCCTAGTGACACGGGCTGTCCCTCGACGTGACCCACCTTTCTCTAGCTCTGCCAGGAAGTGGCCTTCTTCCTTCTGCACGACATTTCCAGGAGAAGACTCGCAGCCATGACATCTCATCATGCTCTATCACGTTTGCGATTCTTTTGCCTCCTCGGGTTCCAGATGTCTCTGACTCCCTAGATAACTTGCTGTTACATAATTTATTGGCCCTTCAGTCAATGAATTATGCTTGCGATCATGCTTATTTTCCACATCATTAAATATTGTTTGAGACCATCCTTTTTAACAGCTGCGTAGTATTCCACGATATGGCCTGGCTGTGATTGAACTAGTCCCATGGTGTTGGACTCTTAGGTTGTTGACAATTTGGGGGAGGGATGAAAACCCCTCGGCATGGAAACATCCTCGTGCGGTGGTGGAGAGTAGTGGGATGCCAAGGCCGTTTTGGAAAAGAACAGCTCACGAGTGGTGGTGTGTGAGTCCACCGGGCTGCACAAACTTCTGGGGACGTCAGCAGCCATTGTCGGTCATTGCTTAGATTCAATCATGCAAACCAGTGACGTTCTAACGCTGCCTTTCCTTCTTCACGTGTTAGCTGGATTCATTCCACAAAGGGAAAGACGCCCCCTCCTCAGTTACCTGGCGACCTCCAGGCCTGGTTTTTAACAGGAAAGACAGGGTAGCTGCCCCATTCTTTCTCTTTATTTACCAGTTTACAAAATGAGTTGGTTTTCTGATACTCGGTAGATGTGACCAGCAACTTTTTAAAAAAACTGTCACTATGAATCTAGATATGTTTGATGAGCTTCATGTTTGCAGTTTTTGACTGGGAGATACTAGGCTGAACGTTCTTTCACGTGGGCCCTCAGTCAGAGCTCCTTCAACTGCAAGGGACAAAGACCCCCTTGGGCTGTCGCAAGGAGAGTGGGGCAAGTCACAAAGGTTCACGGTCACCTGGGGAGGAGAACACAATGACTAATGACACTGTGTGTTTTTCCTGTCCTTACTGGCCATTCCGTGCCCTGTTTTTAATGTTTGTAAACCAGTTTATCCTGCGGGAGTGTCCTAATTTATTTACCTAATCCCCTGATATTGGACACTTAGGTTGTTCCCCCTCACTTCCATTTTTTCGTTTTGTTTTGTTTCGGTTTTTACTGTTACAGGTGATACTGTGGTGGACATCTTATTTATTTATTAAGGATAAGCACCAAGAACCCCGTGGGCGGGTCGGAGGTTAGGAACATGTTTGGGCTTTCTGGCGTAGAATGCCACCCTGCCCCCAGCCAGCCTTCCTGCCCGCTTGTCCCTGGCAGCCCCCCTAACCTGGCTTGCCCCCTTGTGTCTTCCAGATGCCTGGGAACCACTCGCCTCCTCCCGTGCCACGAGGCCACCTCCGCCCCGACACCGCCCCACGTGCCCCCCGGCCTTCCTCCGCGTCCACACAGGCCGGCTGGCTGCCCTCGTGCCGGGAGGCCCCGGCTCTCCCCGCCCCTGCCCTGCACCCACCCGCCACCTGAAGCCACCGGCTCCAATTGCCAAAAACCTCCGCTCGAAAGACGACACAACGAAACGGAAAAGGCTACAGCCCTCTGCAAAACCACGGACTCGGGCCGCTTCGCAGGCAGCCCCTCGGTTCCTCCCGCTCTCCTGCGTGTGCTTTCGTTTTTTATTTCAAACAGACGTTCTAAAAGAAAAAAACGACTACCTTCTGTCCTAGAAGACACAGACTGAAAGATGGGGAGAAGGCCTTGGGGACTTCCGCCCCTCCCACCCCCCGAGCCCCCGGTCCCCTGGCAGCCGAGAGGCGGTGGCGGGCCTGGGTGTCAGGGGGCCTGGCCGATTAGCGTTACCTGTCGTCCCTTTTAGCAGCAAAACCACCTGCGTGGCCAGGATGATTAGCGATGAGGGTGACGATTTTTTGTGATAACAGTATTGTGCTCTTTGTGGGGAAAGTGAGGTTTTTTTTATATACATATATAATTGATATCTTTTATTTATTGGTTGTTAACCGTTGCTGCTGCCTCCCGGGCCTGCAGCTCCCAGGGCTGGGGGCCCCCGTTTACATGTGCACGCCCCGCCCGCCCGCCCGCCACGCTCGCTCGGGAGGCCGGTGGCCTGCAGCAGGCCGAGATGCCAAAAAACACTTTTTTTTTTTCAGATACTGTGCTTGATGTTCGGAGAGGGGAGAGGTAGGATTTCCTGACTGGCTAATGCACTGTTTTCTCCAGCCGGATGTCCCCCCAAGTCCCCTTTCCCTGCTGCCCCC